CGTCTCCTCCTCTCTCTCTCTCTCTCTCTCTCCTGCCTCCTCTCTCAATGTGACTGTCTACTACAAAACCCTCGCCTTGCCCTGCCCTATCTCTTCCTCTTTTAATGTGACTGTGCCTACTGCAAAACCCAAGCTCTGCCTGCCTCCTCTCTCTCTTTCCCTAGCAAAACCTTGCTCTTCCTCATCCAACCTCTGCAAAACCACAACAAAACCAGGGTCTTTCTTGCTGTTGTACCCTCTTGCGCTCAAGATTGTTGCACCCTCTTACGCGCAATATCGCTGAATCGGGTATGCTCCTCCTCTTACTTTCTCTCTTGGCTTTAGTTTTATCTCCCCAATAGAGAATCATGCTAATAAATATTTACGGTTCAATCTCAATGCCAGACAAAAATATAAGACGGCTTTTGCATGTTGCCCTTTTAATCTATAATAGTTCCCAATAATGCAGCAAGACTCAGGAGCTTTGATGTTGGGTATCACTGGTTCAAATAGGAACTTGACTTGAACTAGTGTCATTTACTCATGGAGTTTTGATGTTGGGTACAATTAGAAGAACTTGCATTCTATGCTTGTTGATCCAAGGACATTTGAAGTAAAAAATGAAAGTTTTGGAGGGAGAATAAATGTAATTTCCAAAACTCAGGTTGCACTTATTTGGGGTATAGGCATTGGAGGTATAGCTGCACTTTCCATGTTTTTAGCATGGAATTTATTCATGACTAGGTATAAGTCATCTGCTGCGGATTATGGTGGGAAGAAGCCTGTCGATTTGGGATATGAGAAGATCGAAAAGGCAAGAGAGAAGGCTTGTTCATGTAAGGGTATAGCTTAGACCCTGGAAGACTATTTCTTTTTTTTCTTTGTGTATTCTAGGAAAATTACACGATTTCTTTTGTTTGTTAAGTTTAAGAAGTCCACACTCTCTGATGTAAAATGTATGGTGCGGAGTTGCTTTGCTTGTAATTTGAATCTTCGGGTTTAGTTTGTGAATTTGTGTTCTAATTGCTTGTAATTTGATGTAAAATTGTATTCTAATTGGTGTAGGTGGGAAGATGGCAAGTTCATCCACAAGCAATACCATGGCATATTCAGACAAGATTTGTAGAAATTGTGGCCACAAATGTGAGATGTACACATCTAGATGCGAACAAAATCGAAACGGGAAGTACCTTCATTGCAAATCATGTAATTTATGAAATGGGTGGGTCGATATGCATCTCCGACACTCCCAAAACTGCAATATATTGGGGCTAACGACATCCAACTTCGAGTCATTGATCAAGTTATTAGAGAACCAACAACGTTTGACTGCCTAAGAGAATTTTGATAAGCGTGTAATTATATTCATATTAGCTTTGAGTTCAGTATTTCATATTGTATATTTCTTTCTGCTTATAAAAAAGGAGTAAGGTGTACTTCTCTAACTTAGTCGTAAATAAACTACATTTTGCATTGAACAAAAGCAATGTGTCTCATTTTTTTGGCCTCAAAGTTATTCGTGCGTAGACCCCTTACCCTAGGCATTCGTGCATTTCTTTTTCTGAGCAGTGATAGTTGAGAGCTCAAAAGGTTATGGGAAATGCATGAGGTTCTAATCTAAGGAATCTCATTAGCATTTATATGAGCAGGACAGGGTACTTGAAGTCACTGTGGTTTAACTATTGAGATATCAAAGAGTTTATCATAGGAACATAGTTGAAATGTTGAGTATTAATGACATACTTCTGCTGAAAAGTTTCATGAACAAAATTGCAATGATCCAAAGTCCGTGTAAAATACTTAATCTCATAATATACCTTCTCACTTGAATAGCTCATAGTTGGCTTTAAAAGTTCAGGTTTAATAAGAGAAGAAGGGAAAGGAGGGGAAAATCCGGTAAATTCAGCCTTCTATTTAGTCATTTGCAATATCTTTATTGAAAGTTCTATACGAAATACACAGATTGTTTGAAACTCAGGCATCAGAGAGTTATAATCAAGCATTGCAAATTCGAATTAAATAAATCAACAATGCTTCCAAAAGGAAGGTATCAATCAAAGACATGCTTATTATAATGTAGCAATTCCAAACAACTGCTTGCAGATTTTCAGCGAGACATGAGGCATGTTTAGAAGAATAGGGGGTAGTAAATGTTAAGGGAAATTCTATTTCTTGTTGGTTCCTTTGCTGGGAACAATGGCCAATCCACAAAACATCGAAACTTTCATTAATTTAAGGCATTATTTTGCTTGGTGTCAGTATGTGCGTGTGCATGTATGTGTATGTGTATGTGTATGTGAGAGAGAGATGAGAGAGAAAATTTTTGCTGCTACTGTCATTGCTGAGGAAGCCATTTTAGCCCCCATAATTGAAGATAAGGACGACGGAATCGACTTACCGACATTCAAATTCTCATGATACAATGCACACACACATGCCTTTGTGTGTGTGTGTGAGAGAGAGAGAGAGAGAGAGAGAGAAAGAGATTGTGTGCGTGAAAGAGAGAGGGGGGAGAGTCACATTCAATTGAACTACACAAATATATGAACGCATAAATAATATTATGAACACATAAAAATGGAGCACCCAAGACAGTAACTTCAACTGTAAATGCTGGGCATAAAATTTACATGTAACAACTTTGGACTAGATAGAAAAGTTACAACAAAGAAGGCCCTAAGACCATGATGCTATTGTGAAGTGAATGAAAGCTCATTAACCATAAGATGCAATGCATCGTCATTCATCAAAGTTGATATTTCTGTAGACATCCCATTTTAAATTCGATTGTTTTTTGAACCTTTAGGATCACACTTAACCTAGTAAACCCAAATCCATAGTTCACACAGCCTACCCTGTGACCCAGAACCAATTTGCCTGCCCAAAACCTTGCAAGAACCCTGTTTTGACCCAGATTTCTGTAAATGCCAAGTTTTACCAAAACAATCATTAAAAATAGTAAAAAACTTCGTTTTGACCCAAATTTTCTGTGAGAGCTTCATAAGAGGCTGAGGAAGACATCCAAATTTAAAAAAAAGAAAAATAAATTTGGACAAGTTTTGGTTTGAGCGACACCAGTGGTGTCACCCAAGTCATCCTACAATTTCCCTGTTTTACCAAACAAATGATTAAAAAAAAAAATTCCTTTTTAACCCAAATTTTTTCTGGTAGCTTCACAAGAGACTAAGGAACACACCTAAAAATAAATATTTCAATTTTAACACTTTTTGACTTGGGAGACATGAGCAGTGTCACCCAGCCTGGACTGGGCGACACACCTAGTGTCGCCCATATTTGGGCGACACGGCTCCTGTCGCCCAGATCCCTGACCTTCAAAATTCATTTTTTTGGATGAGGATGCGGCCTCTTTTGGTGTTCATGTGACGGGGGGATGGAGACTCTAAAGAGAGAGAGAGAGAGAGAGAGAGAGAGAGAGAGAGAGAGAGAGAGAGAGAGAGAGAGAGAGAGAGAGAGAGAGAGAGAGAGAGAGAGAGAGAG